TGCCTTACTATACTAAGTCGTTTTTATGACTTTTTATGCCTTACTATACTAAGTCGTTTTTATGACTTTTTATGCCTTACTATACTAAGTCGTTTTTATGACTTTTTATGCCTTACTATACTAAGTCGTTTTTATGACTTTTTATGCCTTACTATACTAAGTCGTTTTTATGACTTTTTATGCCTTACTATACTAAGTCGTTTTTATGACTTTTTATGCCTTACTATACTAAGTCGTTTTTATGACTTTTTATGCCTTACTATACTAAGTCGTTTTTATGACTTTTTATGCCTTACTATACTAAGTCGTTTTTATGACTTTTTATGCCTTACTATACTAAGTCGTTTTTATGACTTTTTATGCCTTACTATACTAAGTCGTTTTTATGACTTTTTATGCCTTACTATACTAAGTCGTTTTTATGACTTTTTATGCCTTACTATACTAAGTCGTTTTTATGACTTTTTATGCCTTACTATACTAAGTCGTTTTTATGACTTTTTATGCCTTACTATACTAAGTCGTTTTTATGACTTTTTATGCCTTACTATACTAAGTCGTTTTTATGACTTTTTATGCCTTACTATACTAAGTCGTTTTTATGACTTTTTATGCCTTACTATACTAAGTCGTTTTTATGACTTTTTATGCCTTACTATACTAAGTCGTTTTTATGACTTTTTATGCCTTACTATACTAAGTCGTTTTTATGACTTTTTATGCCTTACTATACTAAGTCGTTTTTATGACTTTTTATGCCTTACTATACTAAGTCGTTTTTATGACTTTTTATGCCTTACTATACTAAGTCGTTTTTATGACTTTTTATGCCTTACTATACTAAGTCGTTTTTATGACTTTTTATGCCTTACTATACTAAGTCGTTTTTATGACTTTTTATGCCTTACTATACTAAGTCGTTTTTATGACTTTTTATGCCTTACTATACTAAGTCGTTTTTATGACTTTTTATGCCTTACTATACTAAGTCGTTTTTATGACTTTTTATGCCTTACTATACTAAGTCGTTTTTATGACTTTTTATGCCTTACTATACTAAGTCGTTTTTATGACTTTTTATGCCTTACTATACTAAGTCGTTTTTATGACTTTTTATGCCTTACTATACTAAGTCGTTTTTATGACTTTTTATGCCTTACTATACTAAGTCGTTTTTATGACTTTTTATGCCTTACTATACTAAGTCGTTTTTATGACTTTTTATGCCTTACTATACTAAGTCGTTTTTATGACTTTTTATGCCTTACTATACTAAGTCGTTTTTATGACTTTTTATGCCTTACTATACTAAGTCGTTTTTATGACTTTTTATGCCTTACTATACTAAGTCGTTTTTATGACTTTTTATGCCTTACTATACTATGACGTTTTTTTGACTTTTTATGCCTTTTTTAACTATGACGTTTTTATGACTTTTTTTGCCTTACTATACTATGTCATTTTTATGACTTTTTATGCCTTACTATACTAAGTCGTTTTTATGACTTTTTATGCCTTACTATACTAAGTCGTTTTTATGACTTTTTATGCCTTACTATACTAAGTCGTTTTTATGACTTTTTATGCCTTACTATACTAAGTCGTTTTTATGACTTTTTATGCCTTACTATACTAAGTCGTTTTTATGACTTTTTATGCCTTACTATACTAAGTCGTTTTTATGACTTTTTATGCCTTACTATACTATGACGTTTTTATGACTTTTTATACCTTGCAATTCTATGTTGTTTTTATGCCTTACTATAGTATGTAGTTTTTTTGACTTTTTATGCCGTACTATTCTATGTCATTTTCATGACTTTTTATGCCTTACTATACTATGTCGTTTTTATGACTTTTTATGCCTTACTATACTATGTCGTTTTTATGACTTTTTATGCCTTACTATACTATGTCGTTTTTATGACTTTTTATGCCTTACTATACTATGTCGTTTTTATGACTTTTTATGCCTTACTATACTATGTCGTTTTTATGACTTTTTATGCCTTACTATACTATGTCGTTTTTATGACTTTTTATGCCTTACTATACTATGTCGTTTTTATGACTTTTTATGCCTTACTATACTATGTCGTTTTTATGACTTTTTATGCCTTACTATACTATGTCGTTTTTATGACTTTTTATGCCTTACTATACTATGTCGTTTTTATGACTTTTTATGCCTTACTATACTATGTCGTTTTTATGACTTTTTATGCCTTACTATACTATGTCGTTTTTATGACTTTTTATGCCTTACTATACTATGTCGTTTTTATGACTTTTTATGCCTTACTATACTATGTCGTTTTTATGACTTTTTATGCCTTACTATACTATGACGTTTTTATGACTTTTTATACCTTGCAATTCTATGTTGTTTTTATGCCTTACTATAGTATGTCGTTTTTTTGACTTTTTATGCCGTACTATTCTATTTTGTTTTTATGACTTTTTATGTCTTACTATACTATGATGTTTTTATGACGTTTTTATGCCTTACTATACTATGATTTTTTTATGACTTTTTATGCCTTACTATACTATGACGTTTTTATGACTTTTTATGCCTTACTATAGTATGTCCTCTTTATGACTTTTTATGCCTTACTATACTATGACGTTCTTTTTACTTTTTATGCCATACTATACTATGTCATTTTCATGACTTTTTATGCCTTACTATACTATGACGTTTTTATGACTTTTTATGCCTTACTGTACTATGACCTTTTTTTGACTTTTTATGCCATACTATAATATGACGTTTTTACGACTTTTTATGCCATACTATACTGTCTTTTTTATGACTTTTTATGCCTTACTATACTATGTCGTTTTTATGACTTTTTATGCCTTACTATACTATGACGTTTTTATGACTTTTCATACCTTGCAATTCTATGTTGTTTTTATGCCTTACTATAGTATGTCGTTTTTTTGACTTTTTATGCCGTACTATTCTATTTTGTTTTTATGACTTTTTATGTCTTACTATACTATGTCGTTTTTATGACTTTTTATGCCTTACTATACTATGTCATTTTTATGACTTTTTATGCCTTACTGTACTATGTCGTTTTTACGACTTTTTATGCCTTACTATACTATGACGTTTTTATGACTTTCTATGCCTTACTATACTATGACGTTTTTTTTTACTTTTTATGCCATACTATACTATGTCATTTTAATGACTTTTTATGCCTTACTATACTATGCCTTTTTTTCTTACTTTTTACGCCTTACTATACTATGTCTCTTTTTTTAAACTTTTTATGCCTAACTATACTATGACGTTTTTTTGACTTTTAACGCCTTACTATACTATGTTGTTTTTATGAATTTTTATGTCTTACTATACTATGTCGTTTTTATGACTTTTTATGCCTTACTATACTATGACTTTTCATGCCTTACTATACTATGTCGTTTTTTTGACTTTTTATGTCTTACTATACTATGTGGTTTGTATGATTTTTCATTCCTCACTATCCTCTGTCGTTTATATGCCTTACTGTACCATGTCGTTTTTATGACTTTTTATGCATTACTATACTATATCATTTTTATGGCATTTAAATCCTTACTATACTATGTCATTTTCGTACTTTTTATGTCTTACTATACTATGACGTTTTTATGACTTTTTATGCCTTACTATATTATAATAACTGTTTAACCGTCATAGTATCGTAAAGGATAAAAAGTCATAAAAACGACATAGTATAGTAAGGCAGAAAAAGTGATAAAAACGTCATAGTATAATAAGGCATAAAAAGTCATAGTATAGCAAGGCAAAGAAAGGCCAAAAAACGTCACAGTATAGTAAAGCATAAAAAAATCATAAAAATGCATAGTATAGTAAGGCATAAAAAGTCATAAAAACATCAAAGTATAGTTAGTAAAGTCAGAAAAATGCTATAGTATATTGAGGCATAAAACGTCATAAAAAAGACATAGTATAGTAAAGCATAAAAAGTCAAAAAATGTCATGGTATAGAGAGGCATAAAAACAACATAGCATGTTAAGGCATAAAAACGACATATAATAGTAAGGTATAAAAATGACTTAGTATATATAGTAAGGCATAAAAATTCATAAATACGTCATATTATAGTATGGCATAAAAAGTCCTAAAAAATTTCATAGTACAGTATGGCTTAAAAACAACATAGTATATTAAGGCATAAAAAATCATAAAAACAACAATGTTTGACGTTTTTATTCCTTACTATCCTATTGTATTTTTTGTTGTCTTCATGCCTTATTATACTATGACTTTCTATGCCTTATTATACAATGTCATTTTTATGGGGTGGCTTGGTGTAATAAATCAATCAGTCAACCAGTCTTTATTTGTTGCTTTTTCCATACAGGTTTGTGTAGTTCACAGTGTTTCACTGATGACTGATAAGCTAAACAGAAGAGGACAAATCAAGTAAAAATGCTGACAATTAGATAAAATAACACTTTGAAAAAAGAAAAAACAATAATAGAAGTACAAATGAAATAGAAAAGGATACAATTATAAATAAACATATAAAATAGAATAAAGTACAATAATAAAAGAAAACACAGAATAAAATACAATTTAGATACATAGTATCTAAAGTAACATTTCTAAACAGTTATTTACATTAATAATGTAATACAAATATAATCGTAGGTAGAATTAAAATAATAAAATGAAAATCAAAAAACATTAGTAATATTGATAATAAAATAATAATAATAATAATTAAAATTTATATGATATCAAAAAGGAAATAACTATAATTAATCTAATAACAAAAAATATGCTAATATTATATTGTAAAATGTATGCAAATACAATAATAAAATAATAGTGTGGTGGTGTTATGACAGAATAGAATGCATTACTTATGTTATATTATGATAATTTAGTATACATTATTATATCATGTAACAGTTACAATTTAACAATGTGAAATCATGTTGTAATAGGTGTTCAGTTTGGGTTGGTCTAACATGGAGTTATTTAAAATGCTTAATCCACTATTTCATCCTCTCAGGACGAACGGTCATCACTTGAAATATCTTAAATCCAGGGCTATGACCATCAAACACTTACAGTATTAAAGTTCACAAAAATGCACAAAGTCAAACAAAAAAAGTTACTCCATAGACTCTGTTTGGTAATCTGTGTCATGTAATCAATAAACATTGTCCTCAAAGAGAGTGTTGGGGTTTTTATGAACTCAATGACACTGGGAGTCTTTATGACCCTAAAAACAAATATGCCCAAGAGGTGACGAAGATGTAGCTTTTCTTTCTGCCAGGTCCCAAAGTGACCATGTGACAGGAGAGTTGAGGGGGCTGCTGAGCCTGTTGACCACATAGTAATGTGTAATCTTTTTAACTTGTCCCTTGTAATATTTTACAGATTTACAATGTCCAAAGGTGATGCAGAGATAAATGGCCAGGTAGGGCTGAAGAGCCTAAATTCAGCGACAGAAAACAACGTGGTGAACAGAGATTCCTCTGCAGAGAACAGTTCCTGACAGTGCAGCTACACAGGTGAGTAATTCAACTTTTTTAATGGTCTTGATCATTTGTCCAAACTTGCATAACTCCAAGTTTTACTTCTGTCAACTTAAAGCAAATTTTCTTTGCTCTTGAGGATGAAGTTTGAGAATATCCTGGAGGAAATCGGTGGTTTTGGGCCTTTCCAAATCCTCATCATCGTCCTGCTCTGCACCCCTCGAATAGTTCTCCCCTGTCACTTTTTACTGAACAACTTCATCGCTGCCGTGCCGCCTCACTGGTGTGATGTCAGCACCCTGGATGATGGAGGACTCTTCAGAAGTTTAACCCAGCAACAGAGACTGACCGTCAGCGTTCCCCTACGAAAAGATGGGGAACCAAAATCCTGTGAGATGTTTTCATCACCTCAGTTTCAGATCTTATACAACGGCTCCAACAGCAGTGCTGAGCTTCCCACAATTCAGTGTCAGAGTGGATGGATTTATGACAACTCCACCTTCACCTCCACCCTGGCAACAGAGGTATACAGTGATGTTTTAAAATCAATTATCAATTAAAATCTGTCTAGTTATAATATTTGTACAGCACACTAAAAAAAACACCAAACACAAGACTCAACATAAGCAGCTTTACAGCATTTATAATGTGCCATATTGTTAAGTATTAACAGCTAAATAAATGAATTGAAATTTCAGTGAGAAATAGCCCTTTACACAAGAATAATTTGAGCTACAAAATAGGTTTTTGTTTTGTTCGTGAAACTTTGTGTTTGGTACCTTACCTTACCCTACCAGAAATCTGGGACCAACATAATTTATTGTGGTAGCTTTTCTCTGTGATCTGCATTTTCAGTGGGACCTTGTCTGTGATAGAAAAAGCTTGACAAAAACCACAGGTACCATCTTCTTCTTCGGAGTGATGATGGGAGCCATAGCTTTTGGATTCCTCTGCGATAAGTATGTGTATAAAAAAACTAACTTCTTTACTTTTTACTAACTAATTTTACTTCTTTTTGTTCATTATACTTTAATAAAAAACATTTAGAATCACATTTCCAATGCTTTGAAGGAGTTGACACTTTAAAGAAAAATTGTTTCACAAATGAATTATTACATTTTTTTTTCAGGTATGGGAGGAAAAACACTCTCCTGGCCTCATACATCATGGTGATCGTGTTCGGCTTCTCCAGTGCTTTTGCAAACTCCTACGTCCTGTTCGCAGTGCTGAGATTTCTCACTGGATTTGCACTGACAGGGATCAGCATCAATTCAATCGTTCTCAGTAAGCTAACAAGTTCACCATATCATCTTAAAAGGTAATGATGTATCATGTGTTGTGCTTGTTGGCCAAATAAATCAGTTATGGCAGGTAAAGTTTTTCAAAAGGTAAGATACACAAATTCAAAATTACATAGCTAACCTGATCACAACAAAATGTAGAAATCATTATTTTTCATTTATTTTGTCATTTTCCTCACCTTGCAGGCATCGAGTGGGTAGACATAGGTCATAGGTCATTTATCGGTGTGATCGGCAGCCTGGCCTGGTCTGTAGGTAACATGCTGCTGGCAGGATTCGCCTTGCTGGTGACGGACTGGCGGACGCTGATCATGACTGTTACAGCCCCTCTGGGTTTTGCAGTTTTGACCTGGTGGTAAGTGAAGTGCATGCACCCACACAGACATGTTATACATGACATATATGCCCATATATCAAGAGTGAAGAGTGATGCTGCCCTATATGTCACCTATAAGGGAATATATTATTATCACATATACAGTATACACCCTCTGGATATGTCAAGATATAAAGTTATAACATATATGAAATACCCATAGTAAAATTTGTATATATAGTTAAATAAAAAAATATCTATATAAGGAAATTTTATATGTGTGTTTATGATACGTATTTAATTTATAAATACATTTTTTTATAACAACATATGTGTAAAAATTTCATGTTTATATTTTAATTTTCTTATTAAATTTAAAGATACATGTCTATCTTTTATATTTAAATATGTAATATCAATATAGATTGACAGGCTTTGGGATGGATAAATATTTACATTACATACATTATGTCTATAATATAAGCATACATACATAAACATATATATTTGTATGGGCTATACATGATTTTTATATATATATTTTTACTTCTTATGTACATGTATTTCAAATATGACAGATCAATATATTTACATTTGCATAGGGGCAGTGTGTTATTGTTTTACACCAAATTAACAGTAAATGTATATTTCATAATGTAGAACTCACATCTAAATATGATTTAATGTGAAAAAAATTTAAAATGACTTCCTCCTGTAAATGAAAATGAAGCACATCATGTATTATTTCATTAAAAAAAGATATATATTTTTTACTTACTGACAAATTAATTTAATCCATTTCTCCAAAATCAACCTTTCACTTTTTAAAAAAAACTAATTAGTCATTAATTAAATATTAATTTCAATTATGACCTAATTAATGTGTAACTATTTGAATGTATCTGCAGGTGGATCCCTGAATCAGCTCGATGGCTTCTGGCGAATGGTAAAGTGGAGAGAGCTCAGTTTTACCTCGACAAATGTGCAAAGTTCAACAAAAGACCAAAACTGTCAGCTAAATTAAAACTGGAGGTAAGATAAATGAATAACTAAATGACTATGTGTTGAATTTTTATTATCCTTTTAAAATCCACTTTTACGTATCACTTAACGTTACTTCTCTGCCTCTGTGCAGACACTCTCCAACATCGAGATGCTGGAAAAACAGGATAAAAACTACACTTACCTCGACCTGATCAAGACCCCAAAGATGAGACAGTTGACTCTCCTGACTGGGATTGTGTGGTGACTATCACCTCAGAAAGCATCAATCTAAATTACTACTGTTAATGGTCCCAAAAGTGATGGGAATTTGTGTTTTAAATGCACATTGTTCGCTGCAGGTATGGAGTTGCCTCCACGTATTATGGCATCAGCCTGAACATCACCGGGTTTGGTTTGAATATGTACCTCACACACTTCATCTACGCAGCCATCGAAGTTCCTGCCAAGTTGATGGTTTACTGCTTCCTCAACATCATTGGACGCAGGAAATGCCAAGCAGGCGCCTTGTTACTGACAGGAGTCTGCATCGCCATAAACATCTTCATCCCTAAAGGTCAGGATGCACATCAGAGCTGCTTTTACGTTTTACAGAAATGAAGTGACGTGAAGTTTTTAAGAGTCATTTTTTTATGGAAGCCCCGAAAATCAAGTGAAAGTCAAGTTTTGGGTTTTTTTTCAACTACAAAAACAACCCCCGAGAGACAAGTGAATTTTAATTTTAATTTATTTATTTATATTTTTAAGCAAAGAAAGAAAAAAAAACAGAAAAATTTCACTTGCCTCTTGACGAATGTTTTCACAGCTGAAAAAACAAAACTTTGATTATATAAAAAACACAGATAAAAAAAATCCACACAAATAAAAATAAATAAATCTATCAATAAATAAAGGAGCAAAAACGTCTGTAAAGTAATAAGCTGTGATTGAAGAATGGGTCATATGGGATTTGTTTTTTTCACAGAAAAAAGTTTAAAAATTAACTTGCCTCCCTGTGATTTATTTACTTTTTTGTTCAAATTGGATCCAAACCCTCATCAGTGGACCTGTACCAGGCCATGCAATATTCGCTATCACAGTGCAATGATAACCATCTAAAGTAAGGCTAATAATAATTATAATATAAAAATGAATGATAATTACATGACTTACTCAGGTATAGTAGGGCATTTGTGTGGTGCAGCATCTTTTCTCATAACTCTCTGCCACATCCACAACAGCAGGTTATTATTGCTTTATTGTCTTTTATTGCTTTAATGTTTCTGCATGTGTCGTTTTGTTTTTAATACCTCCTCTTGTAAAAGTACTTTGATCTGCATTTTATGTAATAAAAAGTTGCCTTATATGGTCATCCAGGCTTATCTCATGCACAGCACTGTATACTGTACTTGTTGTTTGTAGGTCTGTGGCATGTGCGTGCTGTCGTTGCTATTCTTGGGAAAGGCCTATCAGAAGCTTCCTTCACAACTATCTTCCTCTACACAACAGAGCTTTACCCCACAGTCATACTGTCCTGCATGTGCTGCACTGACAGGACCTTACAGCATAATTCTGCTCATCATTCACATCGGTTCTGTATTGTAGTTTACCCTCCAGTGTGTCATGATACTTACCTACTGGACTTTAAGATGTAATTAAATATTATCATTAAGGATAGGATAGATGGACAAAACTGTGTGAACAAAAGTTGTAAAATGCTGTAATTTCCCTTTACTCTATTTTTACTTTTGTATTTTATGGTTTAGGTGGTAAAAACTAAAATTATTTTCTCATTTCTTTTGTTTAGATTTTAATTTATTTGGTAGAGAACAGTATTGTGTTGTGTTGTTTACTTCATCCCTTTATCAGTTAAGTTTACCAGCTTTTTCTATCTAACTATCACTAATACTGATTTATTTAATCATGTTTAACACTCTTTACAACTTTAGTCTGTGTTGGGAGCCAATTATTTCAGTTCTAATGTGATTGGGAAACACTTTAGAGACTGACTGACTTTAAACTGATTGATTAAACTCTGATATTAATCACTGAATTTTCTGAAACGGGATGTTTGTGATCAGTTCAGTCAAAGGCCATGAAATAAACCTGAACCTTTCCTACCTGCAGAAAGCTCATAGAGAGAGTTAAATAACAGCAATGGACAAACTCATTTACCATGTAGCTTATGATTGATTTTCTCTCTCACCAGACAAAACGGTTTGGGCTACACCAGCTTCATGAGTCGTCTGGGAGTGTCGGTGGCTCCTCTCGTCCTGCTGCTGGAGGACGTGTGGACTCTTCTCCCTCAGATCATCATCTGCTCTGTGGCCATCGTGTCCGGCCTGGTGGCTCTGCTGCTCCCTGAGACGCAGAACGTGAGGCTGCCAGAGACCATCGACGACATTGAAAAACCAAGGTTAGTAAACCTATACATGACAGACACAATGTGTGGTATTTGAGAATGTAGTCTGTCGCTACTTTGGCGCCACCTTGTGGTAGAATTGAGAATGGCAGCGAGAGACGACAATGATTAGACTGATTATTTTCAAACTGGTAACAAACTTCATATAATACAATATATTAAAAAAAAGTTGCACCTCAGCTCAAATACCCAAACACTCACTTGCTTTATTGATTTGTTTCATTTCAGTAAAAACACCATCTCCTCTCACTCCGTGGAGTCTTCAGGTGTTTTCCTAGAAACAAAGACCACAACAGACCCACAACAACAGTGACGGAACAAGTGGAGCAAGGACTTTGTTTGTGTGTTCATACACATCAAGCTGAACTGCCATGACCTTACTGCCTTTTGACTTTGTCAGTGTCAACAGTGAAAGTGAGGCTGCCGTCTTCATGTTTTTAAGGAAAACTCAGGTCAAAATCTTTGTTTGTGTGGTTTGTACACATCAAGATAGATATCAAATATGGAAAATGATTTATTTATAAAGGTACAAACTGAATAAATTAAATCTGAAACCAGTTCATCTACAATTGTGTTTTATTTGATCTGAATGATAAAAACACCACCAACTGTAATGTAATTAAATAATATGATTTCATATTAGCTAAATATACATAAAATTGTCTGAAACTATATGCAGCTGTGTTATCAACTACCATAAATTTAATTAGATGAAAGACAAATTTCATGGCAGGGCTCCACAGGGTCACCTTAAAAACTGCTGACAGTCACTGCGGCAAAATCACTGTTAGCCAATATGTCAGTCTCTCTGGATATTCAATGAAGTAACATTTCTTCGAGGCCCACAAAACAAAAAACACATCAATACAAAAACACTTAACATTAGAGTTCAGTATGTTCACGAAAATAAGAGTGCAAAAAAAAAGGAAATGATATATGATATGATATGATAAAGTGCGTGTTGCAGAGTAAAAAGAAGAAAGCCATTACATTGCATTGTAGGAAGTACTAAGTTGAGCGTACAGACATTTTCAGCATAAAGAAAAGTTAGAGCCGTGGTTCCCAACCTGTGGGCCGTGAAGATGTTGCAGTAATTTGCATTCCTTGACGTCGTTGTCCATGACTGAACAATGGTTTCAGTATCTGTCTGAGTTGTCCCAAACTCAACCAAAGGGTGCGTTTGGGAATCTTGTATGTCCCTCCTCAAAGTCTTGTCTCCACAGTCTCAGCCACAGTTTCCACAGTGGGTCTCTGGCTCTCTTTCTGTTTTGACTTTTGACAGCAGGGCAGTGCCTGCAGCACCTCTTTGGGTCCTTTGGTCATGAATATATAGAGGAAGGGGTCCACCAGAGGGCTGAGGTAGAGCAGCAGGTGAGACACCAACCCCAGGTAGCGCACCGCCTCCTTAAAGGACAGCGCCTCCAGGAGGACGCTGAGGATGAAGGGGACGTAAAGGATGGTGTAATTAGCCCAGATAGCAGCGATCCCCCACACCGTCCTCCTCCTCTCTGGTGTTGGAGGGTTGGATTGGGAGCACATCAGGGCTCTCCAGGAGTCCACAGCGAAGAAGAGGAGGAAGGGGAAAGGGCTGAGCAGAGCCACTGCAAACCAGAGGGTGTACTTGAGCACGGCCAGGGCCAGGACGGCAAATGGAGCAGCCCACGCTATCAAGACCACCGCAGGAGACTGACGGATATTTCTGCAGCAGCCCAGACACTGCGGGTAAGCCACCAGGAGGTGACGCTCCTGGGCTATGAACAGCATGAGGGTGATGTTGGAGACAACGCCAAAATAGAAGATGAAGTCGGTGGCGTTGGAGGAGAGGAAGGTCCCGTTCTCCATGTCCTCATCCACAGTTGGGCGACCGAAGAAACTGATGACGTCGGAAACCAGGAGAAACATGACGTGCATGGGAACTTTATTCTCACCTGGATGGAGCACAGAGGAAGACGAATTATTAATACTGATAGTTTTCATTTCCTGCACACTTTTGTCTGTCTTTATCTTATTTGTATGATGGTTTTAAAACATACTGTTGCTGATACTGAAATGATAACTACTACTGCTACTGCTGCTAGGGCTAGGACTACTACAACGCATTCTGACTGGCTACTACTTATTAAGCTTGGCATTGGCGACATTTGTGGCCAAAGGTATTATGTTTTCAGGGTTGTCCATCTGTCCGTCTGATTCTTGTAACCTTTGCGGAGTGTCTTCAAATTCAAATTTGGTACAAATGTTCACTTGGACTCAAGGATGAACCGAAAAAGCATTCTTTTAGCCATAACTCAAGACTCGAGAAACTTAAAGGAGATATTTGTAAGTTTTGTTCTAGCTATGTGGCCAACGATAGCATTAACAGCTGTTTACTTACCAGTCTAGAGGAAACGTTTTGAGTTCAGCATTAAACTTCATTCCTTTACTCAACAACGCCAAGTTAACTCTTGTCTCTAACACGTCTTTTCTTCTACTGAAGTAAGCATGCTAACCAGCTAGCCCCGGCCCATCTCGTCGCTTTCCGTTAGCGGCTCAACATAGCCTCCAGTCTGCCCTGAAGACGTAGGGTTGCTCAGAGGACGTATTATAACCTCTTGTCTTGTAAAAACAACGATGGCTGAAAGAAACCACGTTCGGCGGCAGAGGAAACTTACAAATAGACCCTTTAACACAAATGTCTATGATGGAGTGATGACATATTGTATCTGCACAGGTAGAGGTCAGCTTCTCTGTGACATCATCACGTTCAAGCTTCCCTTGAAATGACAGTGTATTTACATGGGTTATTTATAGCAGGTGTATCAAACGATAAAATGACGCTAGCTTAGTGCAAACCCCTACATTGGTTGATTATCATTGTGTGTTTTCATATGATTAGTGGATAATTTAAGTTACAGGACAGAGAGCAGAGCACAGAACAAACCTTTGGACAGATTCTTGAGGGCGTAAAGGGCCAGTCCAATCACAGGCAGCCCTAAAGTGAAGGTCAACCAGCTGATCACCTTGGCCACCTGCACAGTGGCGGGCGTGGAGGTGTTGCCTGTGAGGTTGATGAGGAGGGGCGCAGTTGTTGTCACCGCGTTACTGTCAGCCATAAGAGGCCACACCGCGGCTATTTATGTGTTCAGCTGTTTAGATTATCATTCAGATCCTTGGAGTGAGCTGCTCAACTGATGGTGTGGACGCAGTAGGTCGTAATGAGGACAACGTCAGCCTAGTTACAGTCAAAACAAAGACCAGAATCAGCTCAAAATAAGCACTACATGATTTTACATGACTTAATTGTGAAGCTTAAAATAAAGGGCTTCGTGTATTCTTGCTTTGAATGTAGACAGAGTAAAGCCCAACAACACGGTGCTCAATTATCTGTCACCCACAATGTCTGATGTGTGACGCCTGTGCATTTAATCTGACACCTGTGAACTGTCCTCACTGTCCCCTCACCCTCGACATCATGCTTCTTTATCAAAATAAAAGTATATCTACAAAAGCGTCATCAATTTATGGCTAAATACACCACTTCTGCAGAGCTCTGAGGTGTTTTTTTTGGCGTGACTGTTAAAGAGAGAATTTTCAGCACTTCATTAAATTGATGTTAATATTGAAAATACTGATTAATGCAGGTTTAAGATTCAAAATGATCCATGTTTGTTTCTCAAGTAATATATATGTATGTTTTAAAACATTTTTTTTTTCTAATTTTCAAAGCACGCTTATCATCTTGAACCATTATCTTACCTTTAATAAACGCTGAGTCAACTTTCAAACATGAAAAACTCCTCAGCTGAAATAGTTTGAGGTTGGTGTTGAATCCTGTTCAAGTATCTCAATTCCCACTTGGAGAGCCGGAGAGGATGTGTCTACCTGAGTATTGGTGAAGACGTTTAAGTCCAGGTTTGCGTGTGATTGTGTGCGGATCTTTGTTTAATGTGGTTCTTTCTGGGAAGCCATTTATTTTATAGCTGCAGTTCTGAGGCTCCTTATCTCCACAGAGTTGAGCTGCCTGCTTTGAATGAAGCTGAATGTACCTGAATATTCTCCATTGGTTCACACGGCTCATTCTGTGTGTTCATGATAATGCAGGAAGTAAAGATTTGCATGAAAGACTGATGTCAACATATTGAAACTGCCTTTATCTTAACTTTATTCCTGTGTGTTTGTGTGGCTGTTTTTTTTTACAGTGTCAAACACAAACAGACCCAAGTTTTGACAAATTAAAATGGCTACAGGACAAAAAAAAAAAAAGAGCGTAGAAACACTTCAGGTCGTCTGTGACACCGGGATGCTGGTCTGTAATCTAAAGTACTTTGTAATCTGAAGAATGTGACAGTGGACTGAGAGTGGCGTCTCACCAGTTAAGTACTGAGGGTGTCGGCTTCAGTGTCTGACAACTGAATCGCCGAACACTGTTTCCTGCGGTGGAACAGTGACTCATAATTCAGATGACATCTGAGGCGCTGATGAGCAAGGCCGTTAACCCGAGCTGCTCCAGTGGAGCTGCTCGGTGGCCTGCAGATCGGACTGTGGTCGTACTGGACAGCTTCCAGATGTGATCAAGCAACAGCTGGGCCGTCAGTGAAACTTTCCTGAATAAACAAGGGTAAATTCACAGCTGTTTGTCTTGTTGACAGTGTCGCTCAGACACATGAATGTTAACGTCCTCATATACATGCAGGACATACCAGACTATGAATACACTTGTAAATATACATCCTGCAGTCAATCATTATGGATGACAATTGGGATCATGTGGGAAAAAAAAACATGTTGCAATTCTTAAATTAGAAAATGAAATTTCTGCAGGAATCACAGTGGGATTGTTGCTTCTGCACAAGCTGAAGCCAAGTTGTGTTTCTGGCTTGAATTTGTAAGAAGAAGCAGCTGTAGTCGTATCAAAAGATGGAAAAAAGGGGAAAAGGGATGAAGAATTCAAACTGTTGCGTAAGCACAACAGTAAGTACAGAGAGAAAGACCGAGCAGCATCGCCTCATGTGAATCCTCATTCGCTCACTCAACTTAAATGTGTATTGGAACCGGCCGCACACAAACTTTTAGTTTAATACAATAACATGAGCGTTATGAGTATGAGAGCGCCTGACACTAAATAAAGGTGTTACATAAACCTCGTCTGACTGGAAATGACAGTCGGTTTAACCTTTTTGTTTAAAATCATGCAACAAAAAAAGGTTTTTGAGCATTAACTCTACATCATATTAACAGGGAATATCTTATTTGGTATAAAATTACTGAGTTGATGAAGGTTTATCTTTATGTTCATTAAACACAAACAAAATGATGTGTCATAACTTAGTTATTTTATGCACAAACAACATTAAATGTTGGAACTTTAAAGTCAAATTAAAATAACATTTTTAATTATTCAGCTGAATCACACTCTAACTAATAATCTATTACAGTAACATGAAAGTTATCAGTTTTCCTGACACAAAATTAATGTGTCACATGATCCTCGTCTCACTGGAGATTTCTGTTAACAAAGTGATAAAATAATTTGTTTTAAATAATATAATTCTATGTGATAATGAGTCTGTCGTAACATAAAGTTTGTGTTAAAAAAAAGAGTAAAAAGGATAATTAACTTTATGATAATTAACATCTATTACTGTAATTTTCTCACAATCTCTCCTTTCTAAGTTAAAGCGCTGAATAATTGCCAGAAGTGTTTTTAGGATTTTGGATATAAAATGTCATCACTTTATTGTTTTATCTCATTAGATATTTGTGTTAAATCGTGTCATAATTAGTGTATAAATAAGTGAGTTATGGCCAAAAACATGTTTTGAGAGGTCACAGTGACCTTAACCTTTGACCTTTGACCACCAAACCCTAATCAGTTCATCTTTGCCAAATTTTGAAGAAGCCGTTACTGAGATAGCGTGTCCACGAAAAACATGGGACGTGAGGATGAACTGAAAACATAATGGCTGTCGCCGGCGCTGAAGCAAAATGAGCCCAACATTAGTCTAATGTGTCGGTGTCATCCTGGTGTACAGGGTATAGGTAATGAATGTAAATCAAAGAAAACTGTAAAAATTGCCCTGACAGCGCTCATACTGGGGTCATCAGCGGCCGCTCGTCCTTTCAGCCGAGTTCAAAGACATAAGAGAATCGTCCTTCTGCTTCACCGTTCGCTCGTCGAGCTGTGAGACAAAGTTTAAAATCCGTTGGGCTCCCCTCGGCTCTTTTCAGTCCGTCTTTACACATGATGTGTTCAGGTCTTGTTACAATTGACCTGTGACCGGCAGCACGCTGTGAACGCAGCTATTGTTTCTGTGAGAAGGCCTGGGCATGTTGCTTTGCATTATGGGAAAGACAGCATGAAGTTGGTGGAGGTGTGTTTAGAATAATCTGCTGATAAAATAAATCGTGCAGAGTCTGTGTCCTGTTATGTTTTTCCTTTGGTCATATTTCTTATGTTAGCCAGTATCTTGTCTGATCATAGTAAGATTATAAGCAGGGTCACGGCCAGGACTGTAGAAACACTGAGGTCATATTACTGCACGTTTATACACAAGGGGCATGATGTTGAATGTCAAAAATAGCAATTATTAACGGGAAGCAAAGGACCCACTCTTACTCTTCTTCCTTTTTCTCTCACTCCATTTCTGTCCTTATTAAAAGCTTGTGAGTTTTTTTTATTTACTTGTAAGCTTTTCATTTGTTTTTGTGTGTGTAGGTTTGTGTGTTTATCTTTTCTTATTATTCCTTTGTGTGTGTGTGTGTTTTTTATGACTCCAAGCAGAGTGTGAATTATAAACTGAAAATCAGGGCGGTCGACTTTTTCTCCCGGGCGAAAGGAAACTCAGCACAGGGCAGGCACATGCTTCAGTGAATTGTAGTGTTGCAGTCCTTACAGTAACACTTCTGAAACGTATGGAGTGGAAGTATAAAATAGCACAAAATGTAAATATTGAAGTAAAGTGAAACTACCTCAATATTGCACTTAAGTACAGTACTTAGAGTTAATGCACTTAATTACTTTCCATCACTGCTAATACAATTACTAAGCCTTCAGTACACATGTATTTTATTTTTGTTCAATTACCCGACAACGTGGAACTCCTGAATTCAGGAGTGAAAATAAAGGGGGGTGACTATTAATATCAGAAAGGTATAAGACTAACTAAGTCACCAAGCCAACACTGGAAATAAGAAGGCATGCTATCTGCCAGCTAACATTAGTTAGCTAAACTGTAACTTAAAGCTAAAGTTAAAAACTAGCTAACATTAGAGCCCATCCATAGATTTTTGACGCAATCTAATTCAGAACTCAGAAGGTAAGTAAGTAAAGTGATTTAAGTAAGTAAGTAAGTGGCTACTGCTACTTACATTTACCTACAATCTCAGTTTCCTTGTGCAACACACAGTGGCAGAGACACTAAACACTAATTGGGCCGAGGCAAGTTGATGAGACATTCAGCTATCGATAATAGGATTAAGTTTATTGACAATTTCAGTATCTTCTGGAACTGTAAAGATCGCTTTGAACCAGACGATGTTCATCCAAACATCACTGGATCCAGACTGCTAGGTGCCGACCTTCGTCATGCCCTTGAGATGCCATACACAAACAAGAAAGTCTGGATAGGCACGAAGCACAGATGTAGCAACAGTGATAGAGACTTGTTCTCCAATCTGTAATTTCTATCAGTCAGTCAGACTCTGACTCCCTGACTCCAAGTCCTCTCATGGCAGCCCCCCTCTGAAAGTTAAAATTATGGTTTTGATAACATAAATCAGCAATTTTCTAATTAGCTTTAAACTGTATGTTGACCACGGGTGGTTGCATGTAGGGAAAGAGTTTGTCCCCACTTTCTCCCCTTACTTCATCTACTGATTAAGACCATTACATGCTGTTGAAAGCTCTGGAAAAAGGTAGTAAATTGACCTTAAGACACGTTTTAAACATCTATATCATTTAAAGTTTTATTTCACAAAATTATGACTCCCTTTTTTTTTTTTTTAAACAACGTCCACTTCTGTCTTTGTTTTGAAGCTGTAGTTTTACATGAACTATCGCAGTCAGTAACCTAAAGTAACCTCAGTGAAAAGGAGCTTCCGCTTCCTGTCGCCGCTTCACAATAAAAGCCACACCATGCGTCGCCATTTCAGTATTTTTAATGTGAAGCCGCAGTGAATGCTGGGTGATGACAGAGGTTGATGCCAGTGAGATATAATTAGAAACAGTAACACAGTATTACATGCAGCCTGATTATGAATCCTCCAGCATGCGAAGGCAACCTGAATCCTGTAATACTACAAGCTTATGTCCTATAAATACATTAAGTGGCTATAGCTTCAAATGCTACGGCCTTATTAAATTAGGGCCTTACTATGTGGAAATATTAATGGTACATATTCCCAAATATATTTATATATTTTTTTCTTGATCAAATTAACACAAATAAATGACTTTCCCACTAATTACTGCTTCGCACGCAGCTCTTTATAGTTGTGGTATAGTGCTGTGCCATATGCATGCGTGTTTCACCTTGACGGTTGTCTGCTGTGGGTTACAGGTGCAGTTCCACGCGCCTCCACTGAGCTCTCAGAGCAGTTCTGCCATGACTGTGCTCGTGCAGCAGCAGCAGCAGCGCGGAGGGATGTGCTGTATCATCCAGGCAGCCCGGCAGACGCTCCGTCCTTCAGTGGGAATCCTGCAGCTCCATCATGGCTCTCAACATCCCCGGAGTGGCCGTGATGATGTTCTTCTACCTGCTGGTCCTCGGGATCGGCATCTGGGCTTCCATCAAGTCCAAAAGGGAAGCCAAGAAGGGCCAGGGGGATAAGACGGAGATGGCTCTGCTGGGCAACCGGGGCATCAACCTAGTGGTCGGCATCTTCACCATGACAGGCGAGTAACACGCGGCGGTGGAGGAGCAGGCGACCGGGAAATCATCTCTTTAAATCGGTTCTGCGTTTGTTTCCTGTAAAAATCAACCGGTGTTTAGAGGAAGGTTTTCTATTTTTTTTCCCCAGGCCTACAGTTTTTGTCCCCGCGCTCTAAATTACATAACGTTAAATCGATTTCCTGTGTTGAGCCTTAAAATACCTTCTTTGTAAAATAGAAGAGAATAAAATAAAAGGGAATAAAATAAAACCCAGCGCAGTTTTAAGGATTTTCTTATAGCGATAACTACGCGACATTATGAATCGTAACGTGACAAATGAGGCTACGAAACAACATTTTAGTCTACAAGAGATTATATAAAATATATATATATAGGCCTATGTATTTGTACATATTTTATTGGCCGACAATAACGGATGGTGAAACAAAAGAGTGGAGAAGACTTAGAGTATTTGACAAGTGAATTATTGTCTTATTTCAGGAACAGAAAACAGCAAAAACTTAAAACAAAAAACAAAACAGGAAGCTTATAAGATAAGAGGAACTCATATGGTTTTAACATGAGCTGAGACAGCATTAAAATACAGGGAAGGTGTTTTATTCTTATGCTTTCATATCCTATGTATCATGCCTCTCTGCCCAAAAAATCACGTGTCAGCCAACAACCTCCAGAACACTGATGGTTCAAAGTAATTGGTCATTAAATTTACAGTAAATTCCTATTTAAATTTAATTCCCTATCAAAGTTACAGTAGACAGGCTGGTTTATCGGGTTACAGGCAGGTGCAGGAGTAGCAGCCGGTCTGTCTGCCTGTATGTGAATCTGTATGTGTGTGTGTGTGTGTCATACAGCTACATGGGTTGGAGGCGGATTCATTGTGGGCACAGCGGAGGCGGTGTACAACCCCTCCATGGGACTGATCTGGGCCGTCATGCCAATCACAGCAACCATGTGTTTCATCATCGGTAAGACTTCCTTTTAAAGTAACTGAAAACAGAAACAGTAGAGCTGGGGCGCTTCAGGGTCACTGGTTTTCATTTTCACCTGGATCTTGTCCTACTAAAGCAAAAATGAGACAGAAACCTCTGTTATTCTTAGACTCTGCGGGGCAGAAATGTAAAAGTTTGTCCCGAGGACAGGCCGTTCTCACCGGGAAAACAACAGCGTTTCTGCAGATTGTTGAAATAATCACGATAATGGCCCCTGCAGCCTCCTGTGAGCATCAGTAATAACCGTCCTCTGTTTCAACATCGAGTTCAAACTGGGTCTGAGTCTGAGTCAGTGATAGCTTTCCACACTATATGACTGTGCCCATCTAAAAGGAGGGTGCTTAGTCATTAAATGGGCAAGACACAATGGGGAACTGACAGCAGAGCAACCACAAAAGCACCCAGCTAACTCAAAACCAAAGAATGTGAAAATCTACAGCATGGGCGGGCTGCCGATAGTGACATGTCTGCAGCACCACAGGATGTAAAGGTGGATGGTTCAATGAACTGTCTGATTTTTACCCTTTACATCTACTCTCTCCACTGCTTCCTCTTAAATCCTTTCTCTGACCTCAACCAAGTTGTTTTGGCTGCTTAAGATTTAACCAGATCAGATCAGAAAACACTCCTATTGTTGACAAAGGTATTTTTTCAGAAAGTCGTGTAAATCAAAAGGGTTTATCCCCTGCACCGTGGCTGTGAGTCAGGACATCTCAGACTCAGGCTGATGGGATCAGGACTTTGTTTCAACATAAAACAGAAACCGACAGGGCCGTCCATTCATTAGTTTCACAGGTACTACTACATGAAAACATGACGGTTTTCTTAAGAATCTGTAATCCGACTATTCAGGGATTGTCATTGTTGTATTTTCACCTCATTTCACACAATGCCTTTCTCTGGAAACTGCTGAAAAGTCTCCTGAGAAAGGACATTTATCTCCCGAATTGTCACAAAACAGTGACGCAGAGAGAGTAATTATCACCTGACACCTTTATTTCCCTTAAACATGAAAACACGGAGGAAACACAACAGGTTACACGACTTCCCTCGTGTGTGGAGATTAGCGGAAAAAAAAAAAAAAAAAAAAAAAAAAAAACAACATTCCTGCTCCACGTGAAAATCACATGAGAAAAGAAAGATTTATCCTCTTAAACCCCGATGAACGTACAGTGACTAAATGTGGTTCACGGCACTGACAAAGTATTTGACTGTAGGGGTTTTTTTTTTTATGAAGAGACTGTTTGTATTGTGGAGTTTTTTTTTTGTGCTTTATGAAATAAAACATTTCATACTAAGAGGAAAAGAGCAAATCACATGTGTTTAAGGAGTGTGTTGTTGTTTAGGCTGTAGTCTAAAAGGGGAAATGTAAGAAAAATAGATTATTTAAATAAGAAATCATTATAGAAATCTGGTAAATCAACCTAATTAATAGCATTTTAAGTCAAAAGCTGATTTTTTTTTTCATCATAGCAAACCTGTCATACATTGAAGTGACAAATAATACATTCAGCCAATAACCCTAAATCTATCCGTTTCCCTGTTTCATCATTGAGGTGGCCTGTTCTTCGCCGAGCCGATGAGAAACAATAAATACGTGACCATGATGGATCCTTTCCAGATCAAATACGGAAAAGTACCGACGGCCGCTCTGTCGCTGGCTTCGCTCATATCAGAGATCATGTGGGTGACAGGGACACTCATAGGATTAGGTAAGAATGTTTTCTATATGTACACGAGGGCATATGTGCGATGCGTCTGATCCATGCATGTTGACCCTGGCAGCCGAGCAGCTGTCGATCGCAGCTCTTTGCTGAGGTGCTGTGTGAAACACAAGCCTTTGTCTAATTGTAAGGTTGGTCTGAAATAACTCCACGAGGGCACAAGACCTTAAATCGCACCAGTAGCCACATGGGAAAGCTACAGTGTGTGGTGGTACATAAACATACTGCATTATAATTACCAACCACTGAATTTCCTGTGTCTGCAACAAGTCAAGTCTTAAATCCACTGTAAAGATGCTAAGGCGGTGACCTCTGCACTAGATTTGGGTGTAATGAAAATGTAGGAATTTCTGGTTTAAGCAACAATGTTTTCTTCTTCTTCTGTGTTTTATTTTGAAGCATTGATTCATCAGAAGATATATTTGTGGTTTTAAGAACCAAAAACCATCTCAGTGTAGTTTTACATCTCCTCTCTCAGGCTTCTCTCTGCAGCTCTAGTAACAACAGGTCGGTGAGCCAATCAGAAGAGAGGAGGCTCTGAGCCTCTTTTCTGATTGGCTGACTGTTTTCTGAGTGATCCAATAAAAATATAGCAGATTTCAAGTAAAAACACTCAGAGAAACCAAATCCTGCAAGGTTTTGGATGGTGGGTCCAGGTGGGCGGGGCTTGGGGCATAGCTGAAAGCAGTAACTGCTTTGTTGTGACATCACAAAGTTACAGGAAGTCCTAACGACTCATTTTCAAGCTCATGGTTTTTGGTTCTTAAAACCACAAATATTTCTTCTTATGGATCAACACTTCAAATAAAACACAGTAAAAGCGTAAAATATGGGCCCTTTTGATCACTAAGATATCATTTTCAGGTGTGACTGCTTTGTTGTGACATCACAAAGTTACAGAAGTCCTGACGGCTGGTTTTAAGGCTCAGTTTCTGAATACAGGCTGTGTGCATTTCTCTGTGGACTGAGGCTTTGATACTTTCACAGTATTAATATAGAACCTAGACCTGATCTATAATCAAACTACACACAGACATCTACCTTTATACTATATGGGACCTTTAAAGTCTCAAATTATAGCGTAAATTGTGCTGTTTTCAGTTGCCTGGTCTGATATATATTGGCTGCAGTGCCTCCATCACATACTGTAGTTTGTTCACCAAAGAGCACTGACAAGTTTATTTTTCCAACTGTTACATATATATATAAACATTATGTCTAAAACATAAACGTGTGTGTTTAAGGTGTAACTATGAGTGTGATCCTGGACTTGTCCTACACTGTGAGCATCTGGATCTCTGCGGCTGTGGCCATCACCTACACTCTGCTGGGAGGCCTCTACTCAGTGGCCTACACAGACATCATACAGCTCATTCTCATCTTCATTAGCTTGGTGAGTTGCCGCCCTTCCTGTTGCCCAATTTACTCCCTGACTGTCCCGAGGGCAGCTATTAAAAAACACATCAGGGGAATAGTTCAACATTAGCAACAAGCTCCTTTGCTTTGAGTTAGATGAGAGGATTAATACCACTCTCGTATCAGTCTGTGTTTATATGTAGGCAGTTAGCCTAGCATAAAGCCTAGCTGCCCTATATCCAGCCTGTATGCCACACTAAGATAATCTTAGCTCTTGCTCCAGACTCGAGAGTGCTAACATTATTACTTTGCAGTCAGTGTGAAGGGTTAGCAGTTAGCCTACTGTTGTTTACTGAGCGTCATTGTCTCTTCGTAGTGGCTGTGCGTCCCTTTTGCCCTGATGAGCCCCGCTGTGTTGGACATAACGGAGACAGCCTACAACAACACCTTCCAGTCCCCATGGGTCGGTACTCTGGAGGCAGACAGAGCCTGGAGGTGGATCGACAACTTTCTGCTGCTGGTAAGGATGGAAAATAGAAAACCTCACATCAAAAAATAGATTCAAGGTTTAACTGTTCCAGGCCTCTCCTACTGTTTTTTAAAATTCACACACAGCTATGAGGTTACTGGACTTACTTTCATTTATTAATTTTCAGATGATATATTTTGTTTCTAAATAGGACTTAAAGGAGCTATTTGTAAGTTTTGCATAGCTAATGTTAGCATTAACAGCTGTTTACCTACCAGTCTAGAAGAAACGTTGCAAGTTCGGCATCAAACTTCAAAACATCGCCAATGTTAACTCTTGTCTCTATCACGTCTTTTCTTCTTCTTAAGTTAGCATGCTAACAAGCTAGCCCCAGGCCCGTCTCGTCACTTCCTGATAGCGGCTCACTGTAGCCTCCAGTTTGCCCTGAAGACGTAGCGTTGCTCAGAGGACATATTATAACCTCTTGTCATGTAAACACCACCACCTCTTCCTGGCACGAAGCTACGATCGGTGGCAGAAAAAAATGACAAATAGCCCCTTTAAACAACTAGGAAATGTTTTGTTTTTGTCACTGCAAAGACTTGCAGCTGGGAAGCTTGGGTGGGGAATACTGAAGGACTATATTTCGCAGCATGCCCAGGAGACCTGCAGGATTCCTTAGAGGGCGATAGAGGTTTCGGGTGAAAGATGTTGCAGAATCCCCAAAGACTCTTTGGGGATTCTGCAAAAGAGTCCACACAGACATGGTAACTGGAAGTGATGCAACTCTTTCAAAATAAAACAAAAAAGAAAAAAAAAACAGACGCTAAGATTCAGTGATATATAAGGGGCAAAGGTTGAAGCTGGGTATGTTTTTCCTGTACTCGATGTTGCCTTGACAACATTTTTCTTGTCATCCAAGGGTTTGGGAAACTTGGGTCTTCAGAACTTCCACCAGAGGACGCTGTCCGCCGCCTCCTCGGCTACAGCCAAGATAACCTGCTTCGCCGCCGCGTTCATCGTTCCCACTTTAGGCATCCCGCCCATACTGCTCGGTGCAGTGGCTGCATCAACAAGTACGGAATAAATCTAAACTTTTTAATGTTATTTTTTCTATCTTATTTTAAGTTGACATGTAACTTGGCATTAGTTGAATTTTTGCCTTAATGTTCCTCAGATTGGAACCTGACCTCTTATGGATCTCCATCTCCGTTTGAGCGTGGCGAGACAGGACTCGTCCTGCCCATCGTCCTGCAGCACCTCACCCCGACCTACATCTCCATCGTCGGTATCGGGGCGGTGGCCGCCGCTGTGATGTCATCCACTGACTCTGCCTTGCTCTCTGCTGCCTCCATCTTCACCTCCAACATTTATAGGGCCATCCTGAGGACACAGGTGAGGAAAAGGAGGAGGAGGCGAGTGAGGGGAGGGGAAGGTCTGACAATAAGATTGTCAAAAAGATTTTACTCATCCATTCAGGCGAACCAAAACATTTACTAAAAATGGTCATTGGAAATAAACAGAAAAGTTTCTTTTCTTCCCTACAGGCGTCAGAGCAGGAGATCCAGTGGGTGATCAGGGTCTCGGTGGTGGTGGTGGGCCTGGCCGGCACATCTCTCACCTTCCTGGACAACAGCGTCCTGATGATCTGGCTGCTTCGCTCCGACCTCACCTACACCCTCATGCTGCCGCAGCTCGTCTGCGTCCTCTTCTTCAGCGTCTCTAATGGCTACGGCGCCATCCTGGGCTGTGTGGTGGGCGTGCTGCTGCGGGTGCTGTGCGGGGAGCCGCTGCTAGGCATAACACCTGTGATCAAATTCCCAGGATGCACCCTGGTAAACGGCGTCTACGTCCAGCAGTCCCCAATCAGAACCATCTGCATGCTGTCAGCTGTGGCGGCCATCTTGTTGTTCTCCTACCTGGCGTCTGTGCTCTTTAACAGAGGCCTGATTCCTGAGAAATGGGATGTTTTTAATGTGAAAGCTCAGTATTCGTCACAAACACAAGGTGAAACCAAATCGAACCAGAAGTTGAAAGAACAGAACGAGAACAATGAAGCGTGTGAACCGATGTTAGAATCAACATGTTAAGTAGGAAAAATTATTTGAAATACATGTTTCATCTGTTTTGACTGGTTTGAGAACAAATGTATGTATTGTGTAATGGCACACTTTTAATTATAGTACAGTATATTTTCGTTTTGTATACTTTTATATGCAGCATAAATGGAAAAAACATCACACCTATGCTCTTTGTTATAAGAGCTCAGAATGTTTTCTGCAATTTTATGCAGCATTGATACTTTCAAGCATTGACGGATTATAAGACAATGGACCCCAGAGCACAGACACATAAAAAATATATTAAAATATCAGATCAGACTAAAGGTGTAGAGTGACGCAGGGATGACGAATTTTTGTAGGCCGACCCGGAAGTTAGCATCACCCTGGTTCCCTTGTATTTTGACTGACTTGGATTATTACAGAAAATACTCTGTGACCAACAGTTTATGATAATGACACGTTTTGTTCAGCAGGATAATTTTACCTAATGAGCAGCACTTTATGATGTTTGAAGCTAGAAGTGAAACGCCAATGTTAAGCTACAAACTAACTTCACCACGGTCACATGACTTCAACGTCACCGCTGCTGAACTTCCAAATTTGTAATTTGATTTAACTCTGACCTCTTCTACAAAAAGGCCTTTCCTCTTTTAAAGTTAGTACAAACACAACGATGCTGTAAAGACGGACATGTGAGTAGATCGGCTTTCGTGTCCTGCATGATGACGTCTAACGTCCCCGACAACACAACCGGCTTTTTTTTTTTTAGAGACGTAAAAGCTTTAAATAAATCTCGACTGGTCTATTTACTGACGTATTTTATGTTGTACAACAAAATGTGAATATATAGTGACCGTACGTTATCCACAGATAATGTTATTTTAACCGTCTAACGAAAAAAAACCCCACAGACTTGAGCACGAGGGAACCAGAAGTGCTAAAATGCTAACTTATTTCCGGGTTTTAGGACACACTCCTGCGGCACTCAGTAAAATTAATGGACATGGATTTGGATCAGGGGCAAAAGGACATGAATATAACATCCCTATTTTTAAATGAGCTCTTTGAATTTAATATCAATCACTGCCACTTAATACAGAGACTCTGGTTTAAGGGCCCCTGGCTGCGCCTGTGCCTGGTTGGCTCATAAGATGATCCATCTGTGCTTTAAAAGTAATTTTATATTTGATTGCACACCATTCTTATTTTGGTTCTTTTGGTCCTGGTTTTATTGCAGCTTCAGCATTTAAAAAAAAACAGTGGCTGTCAACAGTAAAGTATTGCAAATGTTAAAAACCAGGGCTTCACCTGTGGTTTGATTAAAACTGCCGACATGCTGCACAACTGATCGGTGAATAAATACAGAGAAACACCAGCTGGACTAATTTAACAGGTTCTTTTGTGCCTTGAAGGCCAACTTGATTAAATTATGTTGTACCCAGAGCTGAGATAAACAGATAAACATGGAAGCAAAAAGGGCAAAGTGACCAGAAATTTATGTTTTAAACATGCTTTCTCGCACTGCTTTTAAGATACAGATACCTTGTTTTTATCTGTTTAAAAAGAAGGTATCCACTCTTCTCTATTGACTGTTGGCATAATTAAACAGTTAATGGGTTAATGATTTTAGATAGTTTCAAATAAAATCAATTTAGTAAGGACAGAGACCTTTTGTGTTTTAAAATTATCAAAATCTGCATGGATATATTGCTAAACATGGATATAATCAGTGTTAGAATTAAACCCTTAATTTGCTTAAAGTCCACTGGACTTAACCTGACTTCATGTGTCCTATGAGCTTATGATGACACACAAAAATAACCACCCTCTGTTACATAATTCAGCATGGGACTGTGTGGCATGTCCGGTAGTGACAGATGTCTGGACAATCCCTCCCTCTCTCCCTCCCCCTCTCTCTCGCTCTCTCTCTCCCTCCCCCACGTCTGTGTCAGTCTAAGTCATGCAACAATATATCAGTGTGGTATTATATGAGGTGGCATCTCGCTCCTGACTCGTGCCAACAGCTCTAGTGGAAAAATCGTCCCACAGGACACAGAGACGCTGACCGAGATAAAGGTCTTCTAAAATAAGACCACACAAGAGGACGCTGCTCCGGCTGCTTCCTGTGTCCTTCGTTTGATAGTTGATGGTTAAGTCGACGATGAGGTTCAGAATGCAAAGTCTAAGTGTGCACTAACTAGGTAGTGAATGTGTAGTGTTGGATAAATAAATCAATTTGACATTATTTGAGTTGCAAAGCTCCAAAATGACAAGTTATACTTCTATATGATTTTTTTTGTTTATTTGCATGTTAAATTAATTAATGTTTGTTTGGAAAATGATTCTGCTAAAGGCCTTACATTTCACTCATGTTGCTCTGCCACTAAATCAGATTTGAGTGGAGAGTTTCATGATGGTTTCAATACAGTTTCAGGGGGTTTTACGGCCCTGTACTGTACATGTTTTGGCACAACAGTGTAGATAGAACAATAATCTGAGTATTTTCCTATTAAATCTTTGAGTTGATGTAGAAAACATAATAGTTTAATCCATTAAATTCTAACGCAGAATAAAGAGTGACATTACAGCTGCTAAATGCACAAATTCTGTGGCTACTGTTGTGTCTGCATTAGGTGCACCAACTAAGAAAGTTTTGTGGATCAGGATATGATGCACAAAGTTTTCTTCTCAAATAGGTGTAAAATCTGTTGTATTTGTTCTCTGTGAGTGAGGTAAATAAAGACAAGTCTGCAGAATTTCACTTGGAGCAATAAACAAACAAACAAAAAAAAAAAAAAGGTTGTAAAAGGAGATAAACTGTCAAACAGGAGTGAAATGGTTTTGGCTTCTGCTGTCAGTAAAAACAGATGCACTTCACGAGAGTTGGCTTTCGTTTTTGTTCTGTAGCAGAGTGATCGAGTCACATCTTACATGCTGATGTAATCTACCATGGTTCATTTCTGTTGGAGGATTATGTCACATGTGTCAGGTACAGGAAGTGTGTGACTGGACGGGAAGTTCAATCACAGGATGTGGATGTGGTGACATCTGCTGGCCCACTGATGGTACAACAGCATTTTTCACATTTTAGTAGAACAGCCAGCACAGCATTCAGCGCATATGTACGGTGGCCCTGAGAGCTCAACACACCACAACTAATGAAAACACGTGCAAATAATCGAACATGCTGCAAATTCAGTCCTACAACACAACAGAAGTGTTTCCAGGGGACACTAAAAAGTGATGAGCCCGCTGGGATGCACGTGTTATTCAATGTTTTTAACTTCAAAAGTCACAACTGGGCTGAACAAGTCCCAGCCAGGTTCATCACTTTTTAGTGTCCCCTGGAAACACTTCCATTCTGTTGTAGGACTGAATTTGCAGCATGTTTGTTTTCTCAAATTGCAGTGCGCTGAACTCTCCGGGCCACCATACATAAATCAGTTTTACAAAGTTAATGTCCACCATCACACCCAAGTTGTGAACAACCTACCTGGAGGTTGAAGGGATTTAGTGTCTTGCTCATGGGCACTTCACTTTGAGTCAGTTGGACGGTTGTTTCCTCCATGGATCAAACTGTACTGACGCTCATTTCTCAGCACTGCTTCATCCTCTAAAACGGGACAGCACATGTTCAGTGAGGCTGCTGCTGATGATTATTCTCAGTTAATGAATTAACAAACGTAATATTCAACTTACAATTCTTTTTTTTTTTCTCCAGTGACTTCGTTTCTCACTTGAATCTGATCAGCAGCCAAAAAAGCAGCCGCAAGTATAACAATATAAAGCAAACATTCATTTATACTTTATTCATTATCCACGCCGCTATCATATACAGTCGCATGGCGGCTGACACTTAGACACAAACAACCAATCACACCGACAGGCAATTTAGAGTCGCCAATTAACTTAATTTAACCTGACAACAACTATCAAAATGATCAATTTCCTGATGACTAATTACAGACTAGCTGAAGGTAGAGGTGCAACAGTTACTCACAATGTCAGCAACAATGACGACAACATCCTTGATTGCACAATTTTTTTTTTTTTACATCAGCACAAAATTTATTTTCCACACATCAAGTTTTAAATATTAACATTAACATATTGACAGTCGGGGGTTTGAGGTGAAGTGAAAGGTTGATACAGCACTGGATCACAGGAAACTGCTGCCGTTCGGCCCTTTGTGAATTAAAATCCTCCACATCAAATAAAAACAATATCTGATTCTGGCTCAGTGGGGGATGAAAACACCCACTGGGCTCTGATTTGTTTTAGCAACACGTTACAAGTAACTCGAGTGAAATGAGTGAAAGAGTATAAATCCAGCGCTGATTTACCTTTCGAAGCCACCACATCAGTGATTCTTAAATAAAGAAATAACACAGCAGAGATCTGGTTGTCACATACAAGTAAAATAAACACGAGCACACACTTTGTTTGTCTTATACATATTTTTCCCCAACAACAAGCGATTTAACACGGTTCTCAATAAAGACGACATCTCAGTTTTTGGAGCTTTGCGGGGATGTGTCACTTTTTAAAACATTTTTTTTTACACCATTTAGTGGTTTGACTTTCAGACAAGAGAAATAAATGACTGAAATTACAGGAATTTATGCATCACAGAGTTTGAGGGAGTGGTAAATTTACCTGATCAATAAGTGTGACTTGTAAAAACGATCAAATTCAAAAGAGATTTTGTTTGAGGGGGCTGGAATTTGAAAGTGAGTGATCTAGAATTGGTGTTTCTATATGATGAAAGACTTCATCTGTCCCGTCATGTGACTGACAGACCAGGCATTTTACAGACTGCGAACTTGCTTGAGAAGTTGTTGGACCAAACCAAAACAACAATAACAAAAAAAGCATCCGTAAAATAGTGGCTTTTCATCAGTTTACCCTGACAGTGTCCTCTCTTCTCCACGCCCTCATACAGGAGGGAGATGAGTTCCGGTGCTGGAGATCATGAGGGCCCTGATGTTGTTTCTGCTCCAGGTTTGTTTGTGGGGTCTAAACCAGATCCTTCGTACACAACCTTGTTCTTGATGCCGTCCTGGATTATCCTCTGCTGCACGCGAATCTTAGCGTTGTTCATCCTGCAGTAAAACCTGGAGAGGGAGACACAGGAGGAGCGTTTCTCTTACAAGAGAGATAGACCAGAAAAAGATGAAGTGTCAGTCAGTGTGAAGACCTACCAGGACCCGAGCGTGGTGAACATGAAGCCTGCAAATCCGATGTCAAAAGACCTCTTCACCCGACCTGCGGACATCAGAACAGACTTATGAGATTATTTGACATTATTATTTTATTTTATTCTAAAATGAAGTGGATTAAATCCAGATTGTCTCATACGTCTCATATTTAGGTTGCAGCTGCAGGTTCTGAACATTAATTACTAATCAAAATTAAGAGTAATTTTGCTTTTTAGCATACCTGTATCTTTTGTGTCTGTTTCAATATACCATCATCAACTTCCCCTTAGTTTACCTGGAGGCTAAACTCTCATATTCTGGATGGGAAAGACTCCAGTGACATTGTCCATTTAATTTTACAGGTCATTCAAGATTCAACATAAGCCCAATTAAAACTCACTGGTGGTCAGAAAATACAGAAGGCCAGCAGCCAGTGAACCTCCAGCTCCATGCAGGATGGCCTCTCTGGCACAGGGAGTCTTCTGGACATCCAGAATCCCCAGCAGCCTGAAACCCTGAAGGACAGAAGCGGACGTGAGGTATTAACACCTACTGAAAATTCATACCTTCATGAAATGTAATGGGGAAGTGAATGTGCATCTTGTTTTGGCAAATACCATCTTTATTCAGTTATTTTAAAACATGTTTTGTTATATGTATTGTATCGTGTTAGTGTGAATGTATGTATGAATGTGAGTGTAAATGTTTGTATCACTTGGGTTGAGGCTGTTTTAGTGAAATCCATTTCTATTTGGTTAATAATCTGTGAGCCGAGATTTTCTGTAGGATATCATATTTCTGAAAAACTTCTCAGTAACTTCCTGTGGTATAATTTTCGTTTCCGGGTACAAGTTAACCTTTAATCATCAAATATTTGAACGGGATCTGGTGGGACCAAACTATTTCTGATAACGGATAGCTATTAGCGTGCTAGTTTTACGGAAATTTAGATATGTCTTGTTAAAGCGGGAAACTAAAGTGTTAAAATGCGTTGAGATAACACAACTTTACCGACATTAACCGTGATAACCTCATAAATCACGTCAACAGTTTCTGAAAGTTACTAGCTGCTGTTGACCTTCTGAAAACTGGAGCCTAGCAAACATCTTCCATTTAAAATACGTTTCGCGGTTGAATTTAATTTTTAGACTCTTACCTTGTTTTTGCTCTCTTGCTCTTCTCCCGCCATCGCACCACTGTGTCCGTCTACTTGTGAAACGTTTACGACCAGTTTAGCTCGAAAAAACTCATCATGTAACGACAATTCTCGTAATCATATTGGGCTCTTCTGCGCCTGCGCTGTAGCTGCCGAATGGGTCCGTTCGCTTTTAATCGCCGACAGGAAAACAGGAAACGGTGTTTACCGCTGTATAGTTCCGATCAATGTACATGATGATATTAGATAAATTCTATACTGTAAATACATGTTTTCAAATAAAATAAATCTCACAAATAAATCTAAAATAAATTAATAAAAAGCAAGTAAGTCAATTTTATTTCCTTTATTTCTATTTATTATAATTTTTTTTAATTATATTTATTACTTTTGTTATAATTTTATTTAAATTCTTTGTGTTAATTATTTATTTTAAGGTTAGGTTAATAGCTTACAGCTGCTTTTATTCCCTATTTAGAGATGCATAAATTCATAAATCAATAACATGCAAACAAGCAGAAAACAAAATAGACTACAACAGGAATATTTTACAATCTAAAATATAGCATAATACAGACACGGTGAGGCTGTATTTCTTACATTTTATTCTATGTTGTAAATACAGTCTGCAGATGAGTTTCCGGCCTATTTGCGTCTTTTTTGCTTCTTTAACCGAAATTTCCTAATTTTTTACGTTGTGATCCAGATGATATGTGGAAAAGAAGAAGCACTTAATGAAATTCAAGTAAACTGAAGGGAAAAAAAGAACTGTAGTGTCGTATTAGCCCATAAAAAACTGCAACAAGGAATTATGGCTGTAGAAAAGCTACAGGATCAAGGTCTAAAACAAACCAAGTCAAACAGGAGACCAGCGTGTCACTGTGATCCCACACCGATAAAACAGGATTATTTCACCGGCAGCAGCAGATTACTACCTGACAAACATTCATCCTGTTTACGTGTTGGATATTATTTCCGAATACAATAATGAGTCTTATCATTTTTTACGAGTGTGTTTGAGTTAGACACAACTTTAAAGAAAATAAAGGCAGAAATAATATAATATGAAAATGAGACTAAAACTGGAGATCCATATATTTGTGCTATTATATATTCTTTTAACATATTTAACTGAATTTCGTCGTGAAAATACTGGAAATACAAACAGCACTAACTTCTATAACGCAATTTCTTTGAGTCTTATAAGCTGAAGTTTGAGCACATCTATGAACAGACTATAAGTCATTTCATGCGACCAGCAGCTTATAGAACAAGCCACACGCTACAGAACATGGCTTTGGAATAAAGTCTCATATCAGCCGTATCCGCGACGTACAGCATTAGAATGAAAACTCCAGTTCCCATACCGGGAGTCGAACCCGGGCCGCCTGGGTGAAAACCAGGAATCCTAACCGCTAGACCATATGGGACTTGTTAATTAACTAAAGACTGCCGCCAGCTGGACATCAACACATTAACACAACGATGTGAAAAACAACACATTTGTTTTACTTCATAAATTCAATTTACTTTCTGCATTTCATATGCAGTGTAAAAAAAAATTGTTTGTGCGCACTATTTTACCATTTTGCCCATGAATACACAAAGTTTAAAATCAATTTGCGATTAAACTCAAGTAACATAACAGCCGTAGAATGTACTGCTTACAATGAAAAGGTAGTGAGGGCTGTGAAAGAGGCGCAACCGCCATCTGGTGGTCATGTCTGAGGACAGCAGCCTCAGTAGAGAAGACAAGGGAGGCCAACATACCAACAATAAAGTGATTATTCAAATGGAAGCAATACAAACCAAATACCAAAACCAAATATTTTAGAAATTAATATTAAATACTATAATAAATCTCTATTCAATCTCTATCTTTTTATTAACCCCTTCACAGTTCAGCCGCAGGTCAATCTGGAGGATGAGTTTAACCCCTCCTCCTCCCTCCTTCTAAAACGTCCACTGTAACAGGATGTGAAAGTGATACAGAGACAGATTAATCTCCTGGGTAAATAAAGGTTAAAACTGTCCTGTGTTCCCTCCTTTGAACAAAAACAGGTGATCGGGTTCAAAGCAGTGTGACATCCAATATGAGCAAGTGTCTTCCTGGATACCAGGCTCCTCTGTGCTGTATAAAGCCGGAGCAGGACAGCCGGCCTCAGCACACCTGCCGCAGACACCGGAGAGGTAAGTTACCAACGATCAACAGCCGATTCATTCAATTTATCTGCATATTATTTATTCTTCTTTTCTTTTTGCACTGTGGTTTGTGGCTGGGTTGCCAGGTTGTGTAATTTTTCCCCATTTACAGAAAACAATGAAGACTAGTCATTATCAAATAGTTATTGGCCCAGATCCCTCAAGAAGGTCAGGGGTCAAACACTCCATTAGAGGCTCTTTGTTGATTAATTAAAGCTGAATAAAGTCCCTGATTGTGTATTATTCATAGATAATTTCACAATCAAAATCACAGACTGTGATGATGTAGCATTTATTGATCTTAGTTTATTGATAGAAGTCAATATATCTCCTACAGGATGACGGCTCCACAGGTCACCAGAGTGATACTCCCCCTGATGTTGAGTTTGTTTCTGGGAGCCCCATCTTCCATTTGGCCCCTGGCTCCTGCAGGTAAATAAGACAATAAGACAGTTTTAAATTTATTTTATTTTCATGCAAAAGAAACATTTTGCAACTCATTCAGAATTTTATTGATCGAAATCTGAATGTTTTCACTGAAAATAAAGAAAGTGGCGGCTTTTGACTTTTACATTAACATTAAGTAACATTAAATAACATTTGACATTTATCAACATCTTTTTGACCCATGAGCCTGAGCAATAAATCTATACTATAATGTGTAAGTAGGAATCCTATGTTAGCGTCTCCTCTGCTGAGAAAACGCACAGAGTTCCAGTTTGTGACACATCTGAACCAAACTGCATGGTTTTCTGTCAGCAGCGGCCTTCCAGCTGCCGCCCTGCCAGCTCATCAACCAGACGGTGTCTCTGGAGAAGGAGGGCTGCCCCAAGTGTCACGCAGTGGAAACTACCATCTGCAGTGGTCACTGCATCACCAAGGTATTCTGGCCAAAGAAATGAGAAGGAGGGAATTAGAGGACGGGGCTCAAATAAAGAAAATAATAATAAAAAAAAAGATTAATTTTCTATTTTGGAACGCCAAATATTTTTGATAATTTTGGTAACAATTATTTGGAGTTATGGCTGGAAAAAGCAATATTTATTGGATATATAATACTGAACTTCAGTTACATGATAACAAGTTTATATATTCAACATTTTATTTGAATTTATATTTTATTTAACTAAAGTGAAAACAGAAATTATTGAAATGGTAAATGATGAACAAATAAAAAATTGACCAAATGACCATTTTAAAATTTGCAAGAAAAAAACTAAATAAAAAAGGAATTATTAATAATATATACTGTAAATAACAAGCAATGGCAGGTTTATAAAATCTATGTATTGAGCTCACATGAAAAATATATTCAGTTTTATGTTTTCAGATAAACACTAATTTTCTTTTCACAATCTCTGTCTCGTCTTTTTCACCCAGTAAGATAATGGTTTAATCAACTCATTTATAATTCAACCCAATGTGACTACAATCACCTATTAATTAGTGAATTACTTTACTAGTTTATTTATTTTGCACAATTTAGAATACATAGAGAATGACAAAGAAAAACAAATAGCATACAGTGCAGGGAAAGGCAAGAGGGAGATTTTATTGTATTGTAGGAATAATAAAATATAATGTAATGCCGTGTCTGCGGCTCTCAGCGTAAATCTTTAAAATCAGCACACAAATACACAGTTTAATTTTTAAATCTCAAAAATTTCCGAAAACAGCTGATCACTGTAAGTTTTTAGAAAACATTAATCAAACGTTACTCGTCTGTATGTGTATTTTTTAAAAATAGTCTCAGTAATTGAGGCTACAGTTTTTAGCAAATGTTGCTCAAACAAGACTAAATAATACATTTGTTGGGGACTATTTTCAGCTGTGGATTAATACACAATTGGTGCTCTAGTGAGAATTTGGGGCAGCAGGATGGTGTGTGTGGGATTTGGCCCTAATAAACCACGTGTGTGGCTCACTGATAATGGTTTTTGGGAACAATGATGGAGCTGTATGGCTCAGATGAATCAGATATACCAGACTTTACATTCACAGATAATGCTCCTTACTTTTGCTTCTCTCCAGGACCCTGTCATCAAGATACCATTCAGTAACGTGTACCAGCATGTGTGCACGTACCGGGACTTGTATTACAGGACATTTGACCTTCCTGACTGTCCTCCTGATGTGAACCCCACCGTCACCTACCCGGTGGCTTTGAGCTGCCACTGCGGCAGGTGTGCGATGGACACATCTGACTGCACCTTTGAGAGCCTGCAACCCGACTTCTGCATGAATGACATACTTTTCTACTACTAGTGTCATGAAAGAGCAGGAAAAACCACATTCAGACACACAACACATAGAACATAGAGCCGCCCTCACGTTTAGCATCAACTGTAGTAAATAAAGATTGTTGCCTTTACCAGTGCAAAGTCTTATGTTTCATTTATATACATACAGTGTATATATGTGTGTGTGTAGTTGTGTGTGTGTGTGTATGTATGAACCGACTGTAAACCTATCAAATGTGCAGTATGGAGGAAAATTATCCAGATTTGACAAGTTTAAGTTTTGTGGTTTTTGATCCAAAACTGGTCCCATGTTGTCTAGATGCAAAAAAAAAGCTGTGAAAAGACTTTTTTGCATTTTCATGAACAGCATACACAAGTTTCACAAGTCAGACAGAATGTTTTAAAGACTCTTTAGCCTCTCTGGGATATGTAGTCCAGTCTGAGTGTAGTAGTTTTTGATCTGGACCTGGTCCAATGTGGTGTAGATACAGGAAGAAAAGAGTGAAAACTTTTAGAGAAGTTCTTAGAAATAATGTTTATTATTTCTGTGAACCTAAACAGGAACAGAGCTACTGGGGTTATAAACCATTTTCTTGTGGTATAATGCAATACAGATTGAATCTGTCTGATAGAGGCTGGATGATTTGCGGGAGAAGTGGTTTAAAGATAAACTTACTGTGGTTAAAAAAAAGACACATACTACTACAAACTACAAACTACTGACAATGTTTTAGTTAAACAAAAACAGTCTTGAAGCTTTAAAAACGTCAATGATCAAACCTCTCCTCAAAGAATCAAATTTGAACAACATTATTACCATTTCTAATCTTCATTTTCTTGGTAACCTTTTAAAGAAAACTGTTTTTAATAATAGGAAAACAGTATTAAAACAATATAAAAACAAAGAATATTAGATAAAATGATATCAAATTCTTTCTTATTATATGTACAAATAAAGTTGAATGGAGCTGAGTTTTGTAGGAAATTTCTTCTTCTGTTTTTCTCTCTTTCTCTGCCTACATGGAGCGACTGTGTATAAGTTGTCATCATTCATGCTGTTGGTCTGTTTCTATCATCGCTGTCCATCCTGCAACGACACAGAGAGGCCAACAGCTTGTCTACAGCTCCTTTCCTACTGAAAACATACAGGAACACGTCTGCAAGAGGACTCAACTTTACAAACACGAAAGACACATCATTGAAGGTATTGTTATTTTTGGCTTCTTCTACAAGGAACAAAATGATGGTGGGCAGGAACAACAGTGTAAATAAACTCTCATTGGTTCCTACTTTCTCAGTCATCACACCAGAGAACAGACTCCATGGATGGCTACTAGGGTCAAAGGAAGGCCGATACAAATGATAATGCATGTCACCATATCCATGATTTTTTGTTCTGTATTAAAGTAGATGGTGGTGCTGTCATCGTAGCTTCTGTTCTGTGAGGTGATGTTAATGAAGGAATCTTCCATTCTTCACTGTGAAACCTGTTTGAGAGATCAGCAAGTGTTTTAACATCTACTTCACATTGTTCAGTGAGAATACTAAAGCTGTGAAGTGCTGTTCACACAAATACAGTACAACTATAGTTCAGGATAAATCTTAGTGATCCAGCATTTTAGCACAAATCTCAAGTTACTGGTATTTAAGGCAAGAGAGGGTAAAAACAGAGACTAAATACAACTGTAGATTACTGTACACCTACAGTCCAGTCCCCTTGTTATGTATCAACACCTTTACACTTTTAATGTATTAGGTTAAACATTGATTAAGAGAAGTAATGTAACACAAACTTTACCTTTGAAAGCTGGTGGACCACAATCTGGATGTGCTTCTTTCACCAGAGTCTGCTGTTTTCTCCTCTGTATCCACAGTCTAGTGATGTGAAATGCAGTAATGTAGCAAGATATGAAGCAAAGGAGGTTCAGGATGATGTGATCTCTCTCTCTAAGGAAGATGTGGTTTTCTAAAGAGGTCAATGCTGTGTCATTCATGCCATAGATATGCAGATGCATGACTTCTCTGTGTCCGTTTCTTCCTCTGTTATTTTCTATTAAAAATGTAAAACCAAACCTTGTTTTTTAATGGTTCCTTGAATACAACCTGTAAGTAAGATTTAAGGAGACATGTTGTCAGAAAGGTGTGGGGGATGAGTGGGTGCTCAACCATCTGACAGAAAGTTCAGATGATAGTGATCATACTCTGCTCTGAGTGTAGTGACGCCATTAGTTAGTTTATATTAGTTCAAACTGTGAGACCTGCAAAACAATTTATTATATGTGATGTAAACAGAAAATTGACATTGAATAAAGGTAAACAAGCAGGATTTACTTTATTGAAAAATAAATTTACAACAAACCACAAAAACTTACTTTACTATAAAATAATTTACAAAATACAACAACAACAACAAAAATACAGTTGTGGTTAGACACTATTTATAAGCAGGAAAAAGTCAAACTTACAGAAAACAGACCAAATAAAGATCTAAGAATGAGAGAGATGTGGTTATATTGGCAGAGTGATCATGCTGCTGATTATCTTCAAATAATATAAGGTTTGTTTTTGTGATTAAAGTGTAATAATGATATACATGAACTTTTTATAGAACATTTTATGTACATGTCTTGAAGCTTTCACAGTGCACCGCAGCAAGTGAACCTACAGTTAGATGTCTTGTAGGAAATCATGTGAGAAGACGACAGTATCTGTCTTGTCTCTATTTCCTCCATTTCTTCTTCTGTTTTTCTCTCTTTCTCTGCCTACATGGAGCGACTGTGTATAAGTTGTCATCATTCATGCTGTTGGTCTGTTTCTATCATCGCTGTCCATCCTGCAACGACACAGAGAGGCCAACAGCTTGTCTACAGCTCCTTTCCTACTGAAAACATACAGGAACACGTCTGCAAGAGGACTCAACCTTAGAAAAATGTTACACATACCATTGAAGGTATTGTTATTTTTGGCTTCTTCAACAAGGAACAAAATGATGGAGGGCAGGAACAACAGTGTGTAAATAAGTAGAACCAGAATCAAAACTGCAACAATTCGTCGTTTTTCATCAGCAGGGACACTAATGGCTGCAGACAGGGCTTTAACGGTCCCATGCAGGAAGAATATGAACAGAGGGAAGGGAAGGAGGAGCAAGACTGCAAAGGGGATTAGCATGTCATCTAAATCAGCAAAGAAAACTATAGAGAGGAAAGTCACAAGAGGAAGGGTCCAGACCACGACACAGACCACTACAGAGGTCTTGATGGTTGGTCTGAAGCGGTACCACAGCGGCCAGGCGATGAACAAATACCTGTGATACAACATAGACACACAGATTCTTTGTAGAGCATCTGAATTATATCATGTATAATACAAACACTATATACAGTATACATATATAAAAAGGTCAGACATGTAAGTAGCTACACAAATACTGAATAAACTGATAGCTACCTTTCCATGGCGATACACACCATGAAGCCAACACTCGCCATCAGACCAAAAATGTAAATAAAAAGGAAGATTGTTGTGATGATCGAATCCTCAGGTAGTACCACTTCAACAATCATGCAGCAGAGTTGAATGAGGTCAGAAATCAGAAGGTTGATGATGTAGATCGGAGCCACGTGATCGTTTCTGACCTGCAGGAAAACATTGGTAGAAAAAATCATGATCTTTGCTGATGACACGTTATCATCTTACTCTGCTCAACATTTGCAGTCAGATGTATTTTTCATCAAACTCTCATTGGTTCCTACTTTCTCAGTCATCATGTACTCACCAGAGAACANAATAAACTGATAGCTACCTTTCCATGGCGACACACACCATGAAGCCAACACTCGCCATCAGACCAAAAATGTAAATAAAAAGGAAGATTGTTGTGATGATCGAATCCTCAGGTAGTACCACTTCAACAATCATGCAGCAGAGTTGAATGAGGTCAGAAATCAGAAGGTTGATGATGTAGATCGGAGCCACGTGATCGTTTCTGACCTGCAGGAAAACATTGGTAGAAAAAATCATGATCTTTGCTGATGACACGTTATCATCTTACTCTGCTCAACATTTGCAGTCAGATGTATTTTTCATCAAACTCTCATTGGTTCCTACTTTCTCAGTCATCATGTACTCACCAGAGAACAGACTCCATGGATGGCCACTAGGGTCAAAGGAAGGCCGATACAAATGATAATGCATGTCACCACGTACATGATTTTTTGTTCTGTATTAAAGTAGATGGTGGTGCTGTCATCGTAGCTTCTGTTCTGTGAGGTGATGTTAATGAAGGAATCTTCCATTCTTCACTGTGAAACCTGTTTGAGAGATCAGCAAGTGTTTTAACATCTACCTCACATTGTTCAGTGATAATACTAAAGCTGTGAAGTGCTGTTCACACAAATACAGTACAACTATAGTTCAGGATAAATCTTAGTGATCCAGCATTTTAGCACAAATCTCAAGTTACTGGTATTTAAGGCAAGAGAGGGTAAAAACAGAGACTAAATACAACTGTAGATTACTGTACACCTACAGTCCAGTCCTCTTGTTATGTATCAACCAATGGTGTAGTCCAGGGTATATGTGGGTATACGGCATATACCCACTTATTTTTCAGTCAGCATTGCGTATACCCACTTCTAAATCCCCCCTGATGCGCACCATTCAGTGGTATCTGCAAGCCAAATTGCCCATTTTTTCCCTAGAATGGTGAAGCCATGACCCACACTACTCTGCCTCTTATTGGCTGTTACTCGCTGCCTTTACTGATTAGATTGGTTAACTTTAGGCATCAGGACTGATGAGCCAATCGGAGGCAGAGAAGGGCGGGTCATGCTGAGGTAAATATTGCTAACTGACAAAATTACTTTTACAAGTTTACTTCAAATGATTTGTCTTTACGATATGTAATGAACCAGTACGATGAAGCGAGCTATTCAAACAAAAATTTAATTTCACAATTACAAACGTCCTTGCGAATCAACATCAGCCAGCAGCTCAGCTAATGTTAGCAATGCTACACTGGTACAGTTGAGTCCAACGTCGACGCCCGCTCCGCCTGCTCCGCCCCCCACCCCCGTCAGAGAGGATGCTGTCAGTGAGGGAGATGCTGCCTCTTCGCCCACAGCCAAAGATGCCGGTACAACTTCAGATAAAGACTTCAACTAGGGTAGGTGGGCGTGGGCCCTTTTTTTTTATTGCTGGACCTTGTAAATGATGTTAATAACATGTCAGGGCTCGACAGTCACGGATATAGCTACAGCTACATCATGTGTAATTGACTGCTTAGGGGGAAAAAATTTAATAAATAAAATGAAATGTATTATGACAACTTTACACTTTTGAATGGGTTGTGGTCATTGTTTCCATTGTTACATTAATAGCCTGTAATTCAATCACTTTTGTTGTTTTCCTGTAGACATTAATAATGACTGGCCAGACCTGTGGGTGTGTGTGTGTGTCCTTGGATGTATGTGGAAGAAATGGACCATGCACACATACAGCTGTGGATACAGTAGTTGCATTGTTTGTTTATGCTTCACAGGATGTCTGGTCTGTAGCAGTGTGAACTCCGTTGGGATCAACAAGGAGCAAGGTGTATCACTCTCAATAGAATGGATGAACTTTGAAATTCAAGTGTCTGGCCAGGGACGTAGAACAACAAGTCTTTCGGCCTTGAGAAATAAGGTGAGGAAATATGCTTTGTCCAAGGCCCGCACTCAGGCTGTGAAGGTGGCAGAGCAACAGAACGAAGCTGCCACTGAGAACGCAATGGAGGCTATGACTGAGTCCTACATGAAGGAAACTGAAGCTGTGTTTCGAACAGCCTACCATCCGGCCAAAAAGAACTGACCCTTTTCTGACCACGAGAGCCTCATTGAGCTGCATGAACTGAGTGGTGTAAAAATGGGCTCAATACTTCATTCACGTTACAGTGCAACACAAATAATACAACATGTTGCCAGTGAGATGCAGAGCAAAATCATCAGTAGCATTATAGCATCATCCAGTAAGTTAGCTGTCCTAATTGACGAGGCATCTTCTTTAAGTCACAAAGCTGTCATGACAGTTTCTATTAAAGCATCAATTCAAGAAGAAAGCCCTGAGTTCATATTCCTTGAACTTGTTGAACTGGAAAATCAGAGAGCAGATGGCATAGTACAGGCGTTACTCACCTGTTTAACTAATGCTGGCTTTACAGAAGAGTGGCTTCATGAAAACTGGGGAACATTTGTACCTGATGGAGCCAGTGCCATGTTAGGAAAGAAGTCAGGAGTAGCAACCAGGCTGACCTCGAGATTCCCAAAGCTTTTTGTATGGCACTGTATGAACCATAGACTTGAACTCGCTGTGTCAGATGCAGTTGATGCGGTAAACTCTGTCAATCACTTCAAAACCTTTATCCAGAAGCTATATTCTCTGTATAGTACATCAAACAAAAATGAACGTGAACTTATAAATGCAGTAGCTGAAGTAGGCTCACAACTTCTTCGCATTGGCAGAATCTTGGATGTACGCTGGGTGGCCAGTAGCTTTGGGACTGTTCGTGCTGTTTGGACATCCCTGGGAGCTCTTGTGCAGCACTTTAAAAATGCTTGCTGTGATGAGAAGAGGTCCACCAAAGAGAGGCAAATGTACAGAGGTTTACTAGACCGTGTTCAAAGTCCAGAATTTATTTGTGACCTTGGGCTCATGTATGACACTCTCCATGAACTAAGTCTCCTGTCACAGGAGCTTCAGTCTCGTTCGATAACTCTCCTCAGAGCAGAGCATCTGCTGAAACGCTCAGAGTGATCCAGTCATTCATAGAGAGTCCAGGTGAGAAATATAGTGAGGCTTTAGAAGCAAAAAAGACTGGGGAGTATCGGTCTACAGCACTGAAAACAAATGCAAAGCTGAAGTCTATCAATCCAGGCCAGTTCTTACAAAGCCTTGTGAACAATCTGGAGAAACACTTGTCTTTTGAAGATGAGACCATCAAGGACCTCAGCATCCTTGATCAGAGTAAATGGCCATCAAAGCCCAGCATCCGCCATGGTGAAGAACAAATTAAGCGACTGTGCAAGCGATTTAACTTGTGCACAGACCAAGCACTGAATGGGATGCGGGACCTACTGGAAGAGCCCAGTAGTGAGCCCAAGGACCTAAAACCACTCATGAACTGTATGAAAACATTCCCTGTCAGTACAGCAGAGTGTGAGAGGAACTTTAGCCTTATGAACAATATAAGCTCAGACAAGAGGGCTGTCCTACTGATCTCAAACATATCAAACTTGATGATGATTAATATTAACGGCCCGCCTACTTCCAAATTTGATCCTAGAAAGTATACAAGGACCTGGTTGAGGAGCCATTGTGCCGCCTCTTCTGTGCGTTCTACACAGTGCAGTGTGAAAACTCCTGCAGAAAGCAAGTCTGTCTGGAATATACTGTAGTATGAGCAAAGGTTAGAAACCCAGTACTGGGTTGAGAAAGTATATCACTGTTGATGTGTTGTAAATACATATATATTTTTTCAATGTTAACTAAATATTGTTGTTTTGTTACATATTGTTTTGTTGAATAATTTGAATGATGTTCAATCATCATATGATATTTATATATATCTAACGAGGTATGCTAAAATAGTGTTTATTTCAATTTTACGACAGTGCACTTTTGAGTTTATCTGATTGGTTTTGATGTGTGGAAGAGAATGATTTGTGTTTTTTTTAATCTAAGGTGAAATATGAACAGGGATGTGTTGTCAAATTCAGATCTGAAGTATTTTATTTAAATAAATGTTCAAAAAATGACTGAAACACCATGTTTGCCTCATGTACATTTTACATTCATGCAGGCTGCCTGTGTGACCAGTAATACCTACAAGCTACTCCTGATCAAGTCATGTTAATTTTATAATAGTGGCACACTCTGGTCCACGCTATCTGTTGCAAATCAGCTGTTCAAAGAGACAGTTTACAAAAGAAACCACCGACTTGCCAAGTGAGAGAATAGTCCACAGTGTGGATGGACTAAGGAATAAGGAATAGTTCACTCAAAATGCATAGTTGTCTCTCACTAGTCTGTGGGCCAGTATTGGTTTAGTAATGCCATAATCTTTCCTCCCTGAGATCAAGCAGCAGAAATTATGTGACAATGAGCAAATACTACTGACAGATTTTTGGGTAAACTAAATAGAGTAGTCTTTCATGTCACTGTTTCTAAAACAGGGCGTTTTTCTGGGCTGCGTTAAAAAAGGGCGAAAATTGAGAGTATACCCACTTCTCCAGGGACAACTACACCACTGGTATCAACACCTTTACAGTTTTAATGTATTAGGTTAAACGCTGATTAAGAGAAGTAATGTAACACAAACTTTACCTTTAAAAGCTGGTGGACCACAATCTGGATGTGCTTCTTTCACCAGAGTCTGCTGTTTTCTCCTCTGTATCCACAGTCTAGTGATGTGAAATGCAGTAATGTAGCAAGATATGAAGCAAAGGAGGTTCAGGATGATGTGATCTCTCTCTCTAAGGAAGATGTGGTTTTCTAAAGAGGTCAATGCTGTGTCATTCATGCCATAGATATGCAGATGCATGACTTCTCTGTGTCCGTTTCTTCCTCTGTTATTTTCTATTAAAAATGTAAAACCAAACTTTGTTTTTTAATGGTTCCTTGAATACAACCTGTAAGTAAGATTTAAGGAGACATGTTGTCAGAAAGGTGTGGGGGATGAGTGGGTGCTCAACCATCTGACAGAAAGTTCAGATGATAGTGATCATACTCTGCTCTGAGTGTAGTGACGCCATTAGTTAGTTTATATTAGTTCAAACTGTGAGACCTGCAAAACAATTCACTATATGTGATGTAAACAGAAAATTGACATTGAATAAAGTTAAACAAGCAGGATTTACTTTATTGAAAAATAAATTTACAACAAACCACAAAAACTTACTTTGCTTACTTTACTATAAAATAATTTACAAAATACAACAACAACAAAAATACAGTTGTGGTTAGACACTATTTATAAGCAGGAAAAAGTAAAACTTGCAGAAAACAGACCAAATAAAGATCTAAGAATGAGAGAGATGTGGTTATATTGGCAGAGTGATCATGCTGCTGATTATCTTCAAATAATATAAGGTTTGTTTTTGTGATTAAAGTGTAATAATGATATACATGAACTTTTTATAGAACATTTTATGTACATGTCTTGAAGCTTTCACAGTGCACCGCAGCAAGTGAACCTACAGTTAGATGTCTTGTAGGAAATCATGTGAGAAGACGACAGTATCTGTCTTGTCTCTATTTCCTC